CTACCAGACCAAACTGAAGACCCTACCAGACCCCTCACTGAAGACCCTACCAGACCCCACTGAAGACCCTACTGGACCCCTGACTGAAGATCCTACCCGACCAAACTGAAGACCCTACCAGACCCACCTGAAGACCCTACCAGACCAAACTGAAGACCCTACCAGACCAAACTGAAGACCCTACCAGACCAAACTGAAGACCCTACTGGACCAAACTGAAGACCCTACCAGACCAAACTGAAGACCCTACCAGACCAAACTGAAGACCCTACCAGACCAAACTGAAGACCCTACTGGATGTTGTGGTTTCCACATGTACCCAGCTGTGGTCTATGTGACGTCACTGAGTGACAGCCTGCGGTGACCTGTGACCTCCTGTAAGGCCCGGGTCACGTGACTCTGGACGGTGAAATGAAAACAGAAAGCTGCAGCCACTCAGGCCTAACTCCATTCACAAATGGGACATTTTAAAGTGCGGCAGCAGCACGGCCGGAACAGCCCACCTGCAGCACATTAACGGTTCTTTTTAGCACGAATCAGAACATCTGGTCCACATTAAATATCCTTTAGGTCCTGACACAGCTGATCACATTTATATCCGCTGTGGCTGAGTTCCTCTACGGCTGTTTGTCAGTCAGAAACCCGCAGAGGGCGGGTGCCAGCCGGGCAGCTCTGTGCTTCTTCCTGCTGGTTTGACCGTTTATTCACACAGTCTGTCGACAGGAAGTCAGAGCCGAATTCATCAGGATGTCGATATATGTCGAAAATCATGTAAACATTCAGCAGAAAACATCAGGTCGTTTTCTACAGAGCTAATGTTGAAAAACGTGTTTCTGTCGGGGGAGATCCGGGGCTTGGCCGGCTGACTGTCAGCAATGAGGAAGCAGCGTAAAACTGTCAAAATAAAGCAGCGGGACGGCGGCAGGCTGCGGAACTGGGCCGGGTTCGGTTACTCACCGAGGTTCTGCTCGGCAGAACACCGTTAATGGGTCCGATTGACGGCCGCTGACCGTGAAAATGACCGGCCGACAGCGACAATAAACAGGAAGCTGTGGCACGAAGCGCCGAGCCAAAGGATTAAATGGTCGCAACAACCGGAAGTACAGGATCCGCTTTCAAAACAAAAGCCTCAAACTATTTTCAATAAAATCCTTTAAACGTGACGTCACTAATGCATAAAAATAACAAACTGTTCTTCTATAAAAACAGAACATTAAACATACATGGTTCACCAACCAGCTTCAAGAACTCACGTCAAACTGGGCTGAGACCAGGAGTCTGACTGGTCCACACGCACGTCTCACGCACGTCTGCAGCGCTGTGCACGTGACCTCAGACACAGATGACAGGTCTGTGATGGTTTAATAAAGTCAAACTACAAGACTTAAACCCGTCTGGTTCCGATCTGTGGAGCTGAGCTCAGTTTGTTCACCTGATGACATCACTTCCTGTTTCACCTGAACATCTTCATCAGTCCTGACAGAGGAGGAGGAGGAAGTAAAGAACCGAACCCTCTGCTGGGTTCTGGTCCCGATCCGGTTCGTTCCTGACGTCTACCTGGACCCGATGCTCCTTCCGAACACACACACACACACACACACACACACACTCCTGTTTGTGGTTTACCGTCAGATCAAAGACGTGTCAGGGGCTCAGGCCGGTCCGGTCCCGCTCCTGATTCGGTCCAGGACCAGGTTCGGAGTCAGTGGTTCTGCCGCACCTCTGTCACATCCCAACCGGAGCACGGCAGCTGCCAGCGGCGCCGAGGCGGCACGTTTCCATTCAGAACTAATGGGACGCTGCGGCGCCGAGGCGGCACGTTTCCATWCAGAACYAATGGGACGCTGCGGCGCCGAGGCGGCAGGCGCCGTGCCGCCCTCTCTGATTGGTCAGGCGCCTGCGCACAGTGCGCAGCCTCAACACAAACGCTGCCGTCAAGTGTTGAGAGGTGTCGTAAAGAGGGTCGCTGGGGTTCTTGTTATAATGTTTAGCTTCGTTTGTGACATTGAAAATGCGGATCTAATGCTAGCACAGAAACAAGACCAAAACCTGGTGAAGACATGAGATAAACAGGTTATTAATGTTTATAACCTCACAAACACAACATTATTCACTGTGAATAGTGTAATGTCAGTGTTAATTTGATTTATAAAGAGCTTTTTAAAACAGCTAAAAGCTGCACTAAATCAACAAAAACCACAAGAGTTGGTAAAATACTGTACTTAATGAATTACAACAACAGTAGTTAAAAACAAACAATGCAGAGTTTTAATTAAATACCAGTGAACAGTGTGAAGAAACACTGTGTGTGTGAGTGTGTGTGTGTGTGTGTGTGTGTGTGTGTGTGTGTGAGTGTGAGTGTGTGTGTGTGTGTGTGT